ACCCTTGTACTTTTGACCACCACAAACACACCACGTGTAGCGAGGGTGTTTTTGAGACGTCTCAAAAACACCCTTGTACTTTTGACCACCACAAACACACCACGTGTAGCGAGGGTGTTTTTGAGACGTCTCAAAAACACCCTTGTACTTTTGACCACCACAAACACACCACGTGTAGCGAGGGTGTTTTTGAGACGTCTCAAAAACACCCTTGTACTTTTGACCACCACAAACACACCACGTGTAGCGAGGGTGTTTTTGAGACGTCTCAAAAACACCCTTGTACTTTTGACCACCACAAACACACCACGTGTAGCGAGGGTGTTTTTGAGACGTCTCAAAAACACCCTTGTACTTTTGACCACCACAAACACACCACGTGTAGCGAGGGTGTTTTTGAGACGTCTCAAAAACACCCTTGTACTTTTGACCACCACAAACACACCACGTGTAGCGAGGGTGTTTTTGAGACGTCTCAAAAACACCCTTGTACTTTTGACCACCACAAACACACCACGTGTAGCGAGGGTGTTTTTGAGACGTCTCAAAAACACCCTTGTACTTTTGACCACCACAAACACACCACGTGTAGCGAGGGTGTTTTTGAGACGTCTCAAAAACACCCTTGTACTTTTGACCACCACAAACACACCACGTGTAGCGAGGGTGTTTTTGAGACGTCTCAAAAACACCCTTGTACTTTTGACCACCACAAACACACCACGTGTAGCGAGGGTGTTTTTGAGACGTCTCAAAAACACCCTTGTACTTTTGACCACCACAAACACACCACGTGTAGCGAGGGTGTTTTTGAGACGTCTCAAAAACACCCTTGTACTTTTGACCACCACAAACACACCACGTGTAGCGAGGGTGTTTTTGAGACGTCTCAAAAACACCCTTGTACTTTTGACCACCACAAACACACCACGTGTAGCGAGGGTGTTTTTGAGACGTCTCAAAAACACCCTTGTACTTTTGACCACCACAAACACACCACGTGAAGCGAGGGTGTTTTTGAGACGTCTCAAAAACACCCTTGTACTTTTGACCACCACAAACACACCACGTGTAGCGAGGGTGTTTTTGAGACGTCTCAAAAACACCCTTGTACTTTTGACCACCATAAACACACCACGTGTAGCGAGGGTGTTTTTGAGACGTCTCAAAAACACCCTTGTACTTTTGACCACCACAAACACACCACGTGTAGCGAGGGTGTTTTTGAGACGTCTCAAAAACACCCTTGTACTTTTGACCACCACAAACACACCACGTGTAGCGAGGGTGTTTTTGAGACGTCTCAAAAACACCCTTGTACTTTTGACCACCACAAACACACCACGTGTAGCGAGGGTGTTTTTGAGACGTCTCAAAAACACCCTTGTACTTTTGACCACCACAAACACACCACGTGTAGCGAGGGTGTTTTTGAGACGTCTCAAAAACACCCTTGTACTTTTGACCACCACAAACACACCACGTGTAGCGAGGGTGTTTTTGAGACGTCTCAAAAACACCCTTGTACTTTTGACCACCACAAACACACCACGTGTAGCGAGGGTGTTTTTGAGACGTCTCAAAAACACCCTTGTACTTTTGACCACCACAAACACACCACGTGTAGCGAGGGTGTTTTTGAGACGTCTCAAAAACACCCTTGTACTTTTGACCACCACAAACACACCACGTGTAGCGAGGGTGTTTTTGAGACGTCTCAAAAACACCCTTGTACTTTTGACCACCACAAACACACCACGTGTAGCGAGGGTGTTTTTGAGACGTCTCAAAAACACCCTTGTACTTTTGACCACCACAAACACACCACGTGAAGCGAGGGTGTTTTTGAGACGTCTCAAAAACACCCTTGTTCTTTTGACCACCACAAACACACCACGTGAAGCGAGGGTGTTTTTGAGACGTCTCAAAAACACCCTTGTACTTTTGACCACCACAAACACACCACGTGTAGCGAGGGTGTTTTTGAGACGTCTCAAAAACACCCTTGTACTTTTGACCACCACAAACACACCACGTGTAGCGAGGGTGTTTTTGAGACGTCTCAAAAACACCCTTGTACTTTTGACCACCACAAACACACCACGTGTAGCGAGGGTGTTTTTGAGACGTCTCAAAAACACCCTTGTACTTTTGACCACCACAAACACACCACGTGTAGCGAGGGTGTTTTTGAGACGTCTCAAAAACACCCTTGTACTTTTGACCACCACAAACACACCACGTGTAGCGAGGGTGTTTTTGAGACGTCTCAAAAACACCCTTGTACTTTTGACCACCATAAACACACCACGTGAAGCGAGGGTGTTTTTGAGACGTCTCAAAAACACCCTTGTACTTTTGACCACCACAAACACACCACGTGAAGCGAGGGTGTTTTTGAGACGTCTCAAAAACACCCTTGTACTTTTGACCACCACAAACACACCACGTGTAGCGAGGGTGTTTTTGAGACGTCTCAAAAACACCCTTGTACTTTTGACCACCACAAACACACCACGTGTAGCGAGGGTGTTTTTGAGACGTCTCAAAAACACCCTTGTACTTTTGACCACCACAAACACACCACGTGAAGCGAGGGTGTTTTTGAGACGTCTCAAAAACACCCTTGTACTTTTGACCACCACAAACACACCACGTGTAGCGAGGGTGTTTTTGAGACGTCTCAAAAACACCCTTGTACTTTTGACCACCACAAACACACCACGTGTAGCGAGGGTGTTTTTGAGACGTCTCAAAAACACCCTTGTACTTTTGACCACCACAAACACACCACGTGTAGCGAGGGTGTTTTTGAGACGTCTCAAAAACACCCTTGTACTTTTGACCACCACAAACACACCACGTGTAGCGAGGGTGTTTTTGAGACGTCTCAAAAACACCCTTGTACTTTTGACCACCACAAACACACCACGTGTAGCGAGGGTGTTTTTGAGACGTCTCAAAAACACCCTTGTACTTTTGACCGCCACAAACACACCACGTGAAGCGAGGGTGTTTTTGAGACGTCTCAAAAACACCCTTGTACTTTTGACCGCCACAAACACACCACGTGAAGCGAGGGTGTTTTTGAGACGTCTCAAAAACACCCTTGTACTTTTGACCACCACAAACACACCACGTGTAGCGAGGGTGTTTTTGAGACGTCTCAAAAACACCCTTGTACTTTTGACCACCACAAACACACCACGTGTAGCGAGGGTGTTTTTGAGACGTCTCAAAAACACCCTTGTACTTTTGACCACCACAAACACACCACGTGTAGCGAGGGTGTTTTTGAGACGTCTCAAAAACACCCTTGTACTTTTGACCACCACAAACACACCACGTGTAGCGAGGGTGTTTTTGAGACGTCTCAAAAACACCCTTGTACTTTTGACCACCACAAACACACCACGTGTAGCGAGGGTGTTTTTGAGACGTCTCAAAAACACCCTTGTACTTTTGACCGCCACAAACACACCACGTGAAGCGAGGGTGTTTTTGAGACGTCTCAAAAACACCCTTGTACTTTTGACCGCCACAAACACACCACGTGAAGCGAGGGTGTTTTTGAGACGTCTCAAAAACACCCTTGTACTTTTGACCACCACAAACACACCACGTGTAGCGAGGGTGTTTTTGAGACGTCTCAAAAACACCCTTGTACTTTTGACCACCACAAACACACCACGTGTAGCGAGGGTGTTTTTGAGACGTCTCAAAAACACCCTTGTACTTTTGACCACCACAAACACACCATTCCCACTACCCACCACCACCCACTCAGCATTCCCACCAGGCGCCCCAGTTTGGTCTGCACGACCGGATAGCCATGGATGACATGGGGCTGCACGACGATGGAGCAGGGGGTCTAACGATCTCCTCCCGCACCACCTCCCACCACCCATAACCACCTCCCACCACCCGCCCCGCCACCACCCTTCAGGCACCACAGTTTGGTCTGCACGACCTCATAGCCATGGATGACATGGGTCTGCAGCAGCACCCAGCCACCCACCACTGTCACACCGCCAACCACCCCAACCATGTCCTGCTCTTCCCACTGTTCCCTCCGACCATCACTCACCAGGCACCCCAGTTTGGCCTGCACGACCTCATAGCCATGGATGACCTGGGGCTGCATCCGGACCTGCCCCTCGCCCATACCACGTTAGAGAGGCAGGCCAGCGTGCCAGCACACTCCCAGCTACTCAAGCTGTTCCCGTTGTTCCCCTTCTCACCACCCTCCCCTCCAGGCGCCCCAGTTCGGCCTGCACAACCTGATAGCCATGGATGACATGACTTGGGGCTGCATCCGGACCTGCCACTCGCTCATTCCACATTAGAGAGGCAGGCCAGGGTGCCAGCCAGCGCACACTCAGCTACTCAGGCTGTTCCCGTTGTTCCCCTTCCCACCACCCTCTCCTCCAGGCGCCACACTTCAGCCTGCACGACCTGATAGTTATGGACGACATGGGCCTGCAGCAGCAGCACCTTTGCACGTCCATCTCTTCCCTCTATTGTCTCCCTCCACGACCACCCACCCACCACCCACCCACCACCCAGCCATCTTCCCCACCGGGCGCCACACTTCGGCCTGCATGACCTCATAGCCATGGACGGCATGGGGCTGCACTGCACGGGCAAGGGGCAACACCGCAGTGACTCTCTTGCTCCCATCGCCTCACTCGCCCACTACTGCCCACCGTCCCCACCAGGCGCCCCAGTTTGGTCTGCACGACCTGATAGCCATGGACGGCATGGGGCTGCACGAGGATGGAGCAGGGGGTCTAACTATCTCCTCCCCCACCACCTCCCACCACCCATAACCACCTCCCACCACCCATAACCACCTCCCACCACCCATAACCACCTCCCACCACCCATAACCACCTCCCACCACCCATAACCACCTCCCACCACCCATAACCACCTCCCACCACCCATAACCACCTCCCACCACCCATAACCACCTCCCACCACCCGCCACCGCCCACCAGGCGCCCCAGTTCGGTCTGCACGACCTGATAGCCATGGATGACATGGGGCTGCATCCGGGCCTGCCGCTCGCTCGCACGCGATATGCTGATATTCTCATCAACTTCTTCCGCACTGCCATTCAAGGTACTTGCTTATGGGCCATGTCATGTCATGCCATGCCATGCCATGCCATGCCATCCCCACGTGTTCATCAGCTTCTTCTGCACCGCCGTGCGCCTCCGTTTGTGAGGCCCCTAAAGAATTCCTATCAATAGCAAGTGCAGGAGCAGCAGCAGTGACAGCACTGATGCGTTGTTCCGTCTCCATTCAACCCACCTGCCGTCCCCAAATGCCAGGTTTCTTCAAGCGCCAGAGGGCAGCCATGAAAGCGTCCATGGAGGAGAGAGCAGCAGAGCTGGCGCTCTTGAAAGTGCCTCCGCCGCTCTTCGCGCGCTGGTTCCCAGGAGAGTTCGGAGGGCAGGGCCAGCAGGTGCGTGACCGCACCAACTGTAGTGGCTGCCGCTTTGATTAACTAGTATAGGTTTCTTGTTTGCATGTGTGCTTTCAAGTTTCCGTGCCATGGACAGGTGGCGCTGTGCTACTCGTCCGAGCTGCTGGAGGCAACGGTGCCGCCTGTGCAGGTGTCACCCTTTTGTGAACTAAACATGCCATGTCATGTTCCAACGGTGGAACTGGGTGGGGTGGGGTGTGGTGTGAGCAGGTGGCGCTGTGCTATTCATACGAGCTGCTGGAGGCGACGGTTCCGCCTGTGCGGGCGGTGAAGGGGTTTAACTTTACTAAAGACCCCGACTCTAAGATACCCAAGCCGGGCTTTGCTACCTGGCACACTGGTGCGTCCCTCTGTTAGCCATTGTTAGTATGTCTTTTAGGCGCCCAAAAACTGCCGCCTGTGCGGGCAGTGAGTGGGTTCAACTTCACAACAGACCCCGACTCCGAGTTCCCTGATCCCCAAACCGGAGTTCGCCGCATGGCAAGCAGGTGAGGGAGAATGCATGTGTTGCAAACAAGTATGTGTTTGTTTTTGCATGAGGGGCAGTAGAGTTTCTTTTTTAGCTTTCCTCTTCTCTCCTCACTCCTTCTCTCCTTCCAGGAAGCTTTGCGGAGTTCATATTTGACACGTCAGCACAGAACAAGCCCGCCCTCCAGCTGGACAACCCCGCAACCGCCCAGGCCCAGCTCGAAATCCGGTACCTCGTCAGCTACGAGCGAATGGGAGTGGGACACGTGGCGTGTGTGGAGGGGTGTGAGTGCGAGGGCGGGGATATAGACGCTACCATCTCGCAGCACTGGTCGGTGCCGGAAAAACGCGTGTTTGATGTGAGCCAGAGCGAGAATTGCGTTGTGAGGATCGACGTGCGGCGCGGGAAAGGGGAGAAGTTCAAGATCCTGAGTTTTACTGTCATGTTCAAGCCTAAGTAGGGGTAAAGGGTGTACGGTAGGTGTGAGTGCAAGGGCGGGGATATAGACGCTACCATCTCTCAGCACTGGTCGGTGCCGGAAAAACGGGTGTTTGATGTGAGTCAGAGCGAGCGGTGTGTTGTGAGGATTGACGTGCGGCGGGGGAAGGGAGAGAAGTTCAAGATTCTCAGCTTCACTGTCATGTTCAAGCCTAAGTAGGGGTGATGCACCATAGTGTTGTGCACATGCTACAGTTGCTAACACAGCCAGCAGTACAACCTTAGTCTGAAGCTATCACACTTGTTTGAACTTACAGTATGGTACGCAAGGTGCTGTTAGGGCGTATTCCTATCCTCCTATCAAGAAAACCTCTTATCAAGCCCACACAGGAAAATTGCCTAAACCCAAAATCTCTCGCTACTTTCACCAGGCAAAATGTGCATTCTTGATAGGAGGTTTCTTGATAGGAGGCCGTAGGAATACGCCCTTACTGCCTGCGGTGTGTTGCCTTCTGTTTTTTCCGTTTCCTTTATGGTGCAAGTGTAGGCTCAGCTACAGCCGTGTTCTGAAATGTATGCACAGACAGACGGAATGTACAGGTGACGCAAGAGCTGCCCCTACATTTGAAACTGCACAGACAGTGGGAATACAACATCAGTTGTAACGCTCATTGCATCCAGAAAGGCTAGGTTCATGCAACAGCTGTTCCTGCCTCTGCTTCCCCTGCTGCCTCTGCCTCTGCACCATCAGCACCATCAGCACCACCTTCCTCAGCACCACCATCAGCATCAGAATCAGCATCAGCACCAGCATCCCCATCCCCAGCAGCGTCGTCACTGTCAGCAGAGCACACATTGCAGGCCTTCCTGCATGCACCTGGTGCCGCCAGTGTGCCGATCATGTACTCCTTGTTGCGATCACACTCGCCCGTCTCTGCCCACGCCTCACAGCTGCAGAGAGGGGGCGAATTTACAAAGGGGGAAATATGGGATGGAAGTGAGTATGAGCCGCCGTTCTGTCAAGTCAAGACCCAATCATGTACTCCTTGTTGCGCTCACACTCGCCCGTCTCTGCCCACGCCTCACAGCTGGAAGTCAGGGGTTGGGAGTACGAAAAGGGGATAAGGAAAAGAGAATCAGTCACACATCTCCATCCCCAGCATCAGCAGTGCCTTCCTGCAAGCACCTGGTGCCCCAGGTGTTCCAATCATGTACTCCTTGTTGCGCTCACACTCGCCCGTCTCTGCCCACGCCTCACAGCTGGACAAAGAGAGGAAGTACAGACCAGGGAGGGACAGTGGGAGAGAACGAGTGGGGGTACACGAGAGCGAAAGCGTTGAGTCATGACAGCAAACCCACCACACAGCCTTGTTGGGGCCAGCAGTCACGAGGGGATTGAGGGGGTGGGGTACTCACAAGGCGTTGCTGTCCACACAGCCTGATGCTGCAGCAGGCTGTTCATCGAAGCTCCCCACGTGGATCCACTTGGGTGCAGACCACTTCTCCCCCTCCACCACGGGACAAGCATGATGCAAACTGCTCTCATCGGGGGTCCCATCAGGCAGCATGTTGAAGAAGAGCAGAGCGTCGCCCTTGATGGGCTTCACTCCCAGCACGCCTTTGGCACAGTCCGACCACGAGTCGTCCTTGGGCGTCGGGTCCTTGCTCATTGGGAAGGTGGTTTCTCCGCCTTTAGTGACGTTGTTGAGGTACATGAGCACTGTCGCGTAGCGGTGCCCACCCCTCTGGAAAGGAAGGGCAGTGGGAGCGCACAGGGCGGAGGGGAGAATGGGCGTGAACAGGCGTGAGAAGGGTAGGGAGAGTGAGGCAGCAGGTTGAAGAAGAGCAGAGCATCGCCCTTGATGGGCTTCACTCCCAACACGCCGTTAGCACAGTCAGACCACGAGTCGTCCTTGGGAGTCGGGTCCTTGCTCATTGGGAATGTCGTTTCTCCGCCCTTGGTCACGTTGTTCAGATACATGAGCACTGTCGCGTAACGGTGACCGCCCCTCTGGAAGCGGGGAAATGGGCACGGGGGTAGAAGGGCAGGAGGAGAGGGAGGGATGAGCATTGGAAGGGTGAGACGGGACATGGGAGCAGCACGGAGCCACGGACAGAGTGCGAACGGCAGGCACGGCAGGCACGGGCACAGGCACAGGCAGTGGCACCAGCAGTGGCAGGGGCAGCGGCAGGTGTGAACGGGGGCTGCTGTGGTACCTGTTGGTGCTGCAGAGGGTTCGTGAAAGGCCTTGTTTCTTTCTTTCGTTTTTGGAAAGGCTTTCTTTCTTCCTCTCTTCTTCCCTCCTTTCTTCCTTTCTTTCCAGGTGCAGAGACGATTTTGTACCTGCTTGTGCAGCGGGTCGTCAAAGTAGTCATGGTGTGGGTCGTACTTCTGCCACAGTCAAAGGTTGTCGGTTTGTTCGGTTCGGTTTGGTTCAGTTCGGTTGGGTATGTTTGTTCCTTGTCTGGGCACTGGTGCGTACCTGCTTGTGCAGGGGGTCGTCAAAGTAGTCATGGTGGAGGTCGTACTTCTGCCCCACGCCGTACCGCAGCACCTGTGGGGATGGGGGCGTTGGGGGGTGGAGTGAGGGAGGAAGTATTGCTGCGTGGGTGTGTGGGGGCTATTCCGAGAGTGGGCACCAACACGCTCACACTCCCTCACACCGCCAACACCCTCACCCACCCCAACTGCAGCGACTCCTGGTTGGCGAGTGGAAGGAAGACCCCCCCCCCACACGCATGCCACAGCAGGCACCCCCCCCCCTCCCCCCTTCGCCCGCCCACACACATGCACACATTCCACACGCCCTCAACTCAACCCCCCTTTTTCCTCGTCCTACCTGCAGCGACTCCTGGTTGGCGAGCGGCAGGAAGAGCAGACGCATACCATTGCCTGCACATAGTGCACAACCCCTCACGCATCCACGCATTCCTCAACACCCTCACCCCTTTTCGCTCCTTCCCCCCACCTGCAGCGACTCCTGGTTGGCGAGCGGCAGGAAGAGCAGACGCATACCATTGCCTGCACATAGTGCACAACCCCTCACGCATCCACGCATTCCTCAACACCCTCACCCCTTTTCGCTCCTTCCCCCCACCTGCAGCGACTCCTGGTTGGCGAGCGGCAGGAAGAGCAGACGCATACCATTGCCTGCACATAGTGCACAACCCCTCACGCATCCACGCATTCCTCAACACCCTCACCCCTTTTCGCTCCTTCCCCCCACCTGCAGCGACTCCTGGTTGGCGAGCGGCAGGAAGAGCAGACGCATACCATTGCCTGCACATAGTGCACAACCCCTCACCCCTCACACATGCATGCCCGCACCCCCAGCACCTGCAGCGACTCCTGGTTGGCGAGCGGCAGGAAGGTCCAGACGGCGATGCGCTGCTCGATGCGCGCGATGACGTCATCCTCGCCCTTCTCCATGAACATGCCGCTGCTCGTGCGCACCGCCGACACCGACACGTGCCCATCCACACCGTCCACCACCGACGATCTGACGGCGGGGAGTGGGGGGTGAAGGGAGGGGGGAACGGCGGAGGGAGCGAGTGGGTGAGGAGAGCCGGAGCGAGTGGGGAAGGGGATTGGGTTCTTCGCAAGAATCCAGCTTCCGCTACTGACTCACGCTCGCCAACTCACCGCTGTACGCATGGTTGTCGCCTGTGCGACTCACCGCTGTAAGCGAGGCGTCGCCTGTGCGACGATGTGGTCGCACTCCTCTTCCGACAGGAACCGTTTGAACAGATACGCGCGCGGCCGCCACCACGACAGCTGGATCACGCGCCGCTCGCCTTCGTCGTCGCCGCCGCCGCCGCCGCCGCCGCCGCCGCCGCCGCCGCCGCCGCCGCCGCTTGCCGTGTCGAGGCGCAGCGTTAGCGACGGGTTCCCGCCATCCTCAACAGCAGAATCAGCGGAATCTACGGAAGCGTTAGAAGCGGTTGAATCGGCGCTTTCTGTGGCGGCGGAATTGGCGCATGTTTTAGCCTCGGCTCCTGCCGTGTCGGCAGCTGCCGTGCATGTCTCGATATTGCCGCGATCCGTCGCTTCCGCTGCGATGACAAGAGCGATGTAAAATGCGAACGCGGCGCCGAATAGCAATACAACGGCAGTAGAGAGTAAGCGACGAGCGGCCATTGCCGCTCCAATTACTGAGCCTATGAGAGAACTGTACGGAGTGAATGCGCAAGGAACGGACGGGTCACGGACATGAAAATGGGAGAGATACTATTACGCGAGGAGGGGTTCCTGATGTTATAAAAGTCAGGTGAGGTGCGCAGGCCAGATCCTTTGAAAGTGGAACAATGCCTTGGACGTGCCTTGTGACGCGACACGCGGGAAGCAGAGTAGTCGAACAACTAGACGGCCGACCTCGAGCAAAGTGGTGCGTTGGGGAGTTATGAGCGAGAAGGCAACCAAAGCAGAAACAAGAAATGGTCACATGGTACGGTATGGCATTCCAAGCCCGCTGCGAGGTCGTGCGAAAATACAAGCGAAGCACTTTTCGCTGCAAGCGAGCTTGACGATCATGTTGAATGCGCCGTAACACTGATCGTCGACGAATAATTGCTCGCCAGGCGCGAATTGAGCGAGGCAATGTGATGCTGGCGTGGCATGTTCTTCACATTTGCGCTGGGCGGCAACCTTGAAATTTGTCGGTGATGTCCAGCGAAGCTGTAGGTATGCTGAGTTGTCGAGATTGCCAGCTTGTATTAACACTTGGCCATCGTGGAGCGCAACATTGGCAGTGCAACCTGGCGAATCCGACTTCACAGCCAATGAAGGCTCAGAATTGGGAATTGATCAGACTGGGGCCCCGGGTTAGCAGAAACAGTGCCAACTTGGGGCCTCGTGAGTCGCGACCCTACGAAATAGGCCCGAAGCAAATCACAAGACTGGGCAGCAGGTCCGAACCTGGCAAACTCGCCAGGTCACCACCTACTGCCTTGGGTTTGACGGAAATCGCTAGCACCCCACACCGCTGGAAGCACAACAATCCGTCAAACCAACACAGTCTGATCGAGATACAGCACAAGCAGCATGTAACAAACAACTCGGAATTATTACGGAAACATAAGACTGCCAGAACACAAAGAGCTGAAACATGAAAATTAATAAAATGAGTGGGCACAAAATGGGGAGGTTCATGACCTTTTTCTGTTAGAGAAATTTCAACCAACCTACCCACATTCTTTCAGAATATGTATACATACATATATGATTTACATGCAAGTGCTTCCCTTGTAAAATCTTCGATGAAAAATCTTCTACCGTATTCCCCCGGATATACCACCCTAGGGTGCTATGATAACTACACAAAAAAAAGGGGGGGTCTTGTCATCGGAAAAAGCTTCATTGCACCCGGGTCTTTACATAATGTGTATTTTTTTTATAGCGTAAAACGATTAGTACTAAATGTACATCTGTATTTTTGTTTTACATCTGTACTAAATCGTTTTACGCTATAAAAAAAATACACATTATGTAAAGACCCGGGTGCAATGAAGCTTTTTCCGATGACAAGACCCCCCCTTTTTTTTGTGTAGTTATCATAGCACCCTAGGGTGGTATATCCGGGGGAATACGGTAGAAGATTTTTCATCGAAGATTTTACAAGGGAAGCACTTGCATGTAAATCATATATGTATGTATACATATTCTGAAAGAATGTGGGTAGGTTGGTTGAAATTTCTCTAACAGAAAAAGGTCATGAACCTCCCCATTTTGTGCCCACTCATTTTATTAATTTTCATGTTTCAGCTCTTTGTGTTCTGGCAGTCTTATGTTTCCGTAATAATTCCGAGTTGTTTGTTACATGCTGCTTGTGCTGTATCTCGATCAGACTGTGTTGGTTTGACGGATTGTTGTGCTTCCAGCGGTGTGGGGTGCTAGCGATTTCCGTCAAACCCAAGGCAGTAGGTGGTGACCTGGCGAGTTTGCCAGGTTCGGACCTGCTGCCCAGTCTTGTGATTTGCTTCGGGCCTATTTCGTAGGGTCGCGACTCACGAGGCCCCAAGTTGGCACTGTTTCTGCTAACCCGGGGCCCCAGTCTGATCAATTCCCCTCAGAATTTCCCCATGCTGTCACGCCAGCAGCCCGTAGATCTGGGAAGGGGCTTCAGTGACAACGATCAATTCATTGATGGTTTGTTACACGGCTAGTATAGTACATACCTAAATTAGTATCAAAAATACCCCATACTTAGGGGGGGAATTTAATAATATACAAAACATTCAACTCAGAGTATATCCTCCCCGGTCTCTCCAGCATCATCACATTCTTCGCCTTCTTCTTGAGACGGCAACGGTACGCGAGTGCTCATTATTCTCCGACTAGAATGGCCAAACGGGTCCCGAAGCGGCATACTTAAGTGCTTCTCTAAAGAGCTCGCAACTATTTCAGGAGAATCTTGAAGCGATCTCGTCGGAAGGAGCTCGCCATATGCATTAGGTATGGCCTTGAGCATGTATTGCATGACAGACTCCGGAACAGTCGGCTCTCCAGAGAAGAACAGCATGTGAACCTGTACCATCACCTGCAAATAACCCAACAAGCAGAGGGGGGAGCAGCGCACAGAAAAGCAAAACAAACACATGCAATTTATATTCCTCACAAAACAGGAAAGCACCAGCTGGGATCTGGAAATATTGCTCTCACCCATGATAGAATGTCTTTTAATTTCTCACAATGGGTCAGAATGCTATTAGAATGTCTCAGAAGGTCCCAGACATCTGTCACACTTACCCTTGGCAGGATGTTGCGCACGTCACAAGCGAAGGCAGTCTTGAGGAAGCTGAAGGCGATGTGTGGGCGCAGCAGGAAGAGCAAAGCAGCTCTCTCTGCTGTGCCATCCGTCTATCTCCCTCATGCAAAGCACGAGCACTGCTTAAGCACTCACCCGTGGCAGGATGTCGCGCACGTCACACGCAAAGGCGGTTTTGAGGAAGCTGAAGGCGATGTCTGGTCGCAGCAGGAAGAGCGGTCGCACAAACTCCCTCACGTGCCCCGCCTTGATGTCGTCGGCTGTCAACACCGGTGCACAGTTGCGCACCCACAGCTGCACTGGCCGGGCAGGGCAGGGCAGGGCAGAGCCGGGAGAGGAAATGTGGTTGACTTTTGGAAACAGGCCAGAAAGGCTCCTTTCCCACAAGGTGCCTTGATTTCGTTCACAAAGCATTGGCGCCAGCGCGGTTGTGCAGCCACATCACAAGAATGCAAGTAACAACGACACAACGAGAAGAATGCGAATGGACTTGGTAGACTTCAAGCATGGAGCCGGAAAACAAGAACAACGAACACAAAACAAAACCAGAAAACTCTACAGCAGGAATTGCAATCACCTTGAAGTTGCCCTGCAATCACCTTGAAGTTGCCCTGCAATCACCTTGAAGTTGCCCTGCGCTCACCTTGAAGTTGCCCTGCATGATGCCAAACACCTGATCCAGATCCTCCAGTGCATAGCTCCCCTCGTACCCCTCTGCTCCCAACAGCCTGCTCGCTCACCATGGAAATATGGGAGTGTGGGGAGCGAGGGAATGTGGGAGGATGAGATAGTGGGGCCACGCCGCGCGTGGAATGCACCAGTCGACTTTTGAGACGTCTCAAAAGGATGAGATAGTGGGGCCACGCCGCGCGTGAAATGCACCAGTCGCCTGCGCCTGGTTACTGTGGTATCTAACATTACTCAACAGGCATGGTATGACTCACCTTGGTGAGGAGCTGAGCAGCACGATGCGCTTGAAGAGAGTGGGGCGTTCCAAAGAGGCCAGCAGCGCCACCATGCCCGCCTGCTGCTGCCCCACGACTGTGCACTGCTGCCCGCGCTCCCTCCCCTGCATGCATGCGCCAGCACGAGCACATGCGAACAAGAGGGAACCAGAGGGAGTTGGAAGGATTGAGAGGGGTCCCAACATGTTCAAAGGAAGTTAGATGGAGAGCAGACCACATGGATTCAGAGTGATGCAGAGGGAGGAAACAAGGGGTACTGGAACAGGGGAGCAGGCGAGCAGGCGAGCAGGCGAGCAGCAAGCAAGAATGACTGACCTCGACGCCCAGCTCTTGCAGCAGCAGCAGTAGGTCGTCTGTGAAGCCATGCAATGTGCTGTAGCGCTGGTAGTCAAATGCATCGTAGTCCGTGCTGTGAGGGGACGAGGGGAGGTTGGGGAGGGGGAGAGTGGGGAGGGGGAGAGTGCGGGTGTTGGAGGGCAGGGGTGCACTATGTGTGAGGTGAATCCATGCAGTGCGCTGTAGCGCTGGTAGTCAAGGGCGTCATAGTCCGTGCTGTGTGTGTGTGGAGGAAGAGGGGGAATACAAGGCACAAAAGACAGGCGAGCAGCGTGCAGTGTGTGCTGTAGCGCTGGTAGTCAAACGCATCGTAGTCCGTGCTGTGAGGGGTTGGAGGGGGAGGGAGGGAGGAGGGGGGAAAAGGGGAAAGTGGGCAGGGCGGATGGGAACATGAGAGGGAGAGAGGGCAGGTCGTCTGTGAAGCCATGCAGTGTGCTGTATCGCTGGTAGTCAAAGGCGTCATAGTCCGTGCTGTGAGGGGTGGGGAAAGGTTGTGGGGGGGACGGGGTCGAGGAGGGCTGTTGCATTCGAGGGTGGAGGCACGTAATGTGTACGATAAAGCCATGCATGCAACATGCCGTACTGCTGTAAAAGGTCAGAAGCTGCTAGAGCGGAGAGCGCGGACTGGCCTTACCCCAGAGCACCTGTGACGTTGTAGAGAACAATCTTATAGCAAGTCTTGTCTAGTGCCTTGATCACGCCGCTCCACACCTGCAACACATGAACCCGCAGATGAAACGGGAGATGAAATGGAAGACGCGAAATGGTTGTTACAAGACGAAAGGGTATCTAACATGTGGAGATCATGTTACCATGCCTGTAGCATGATTACTGAAAGAGCAGTTACGGATGAGGCATGCCATTACTGAAGAAGTGGTTACCAACGAGGTGGTTACCACTTACGTTCTTGTTGTATCCGAAGCCGTGTGAGAACACCAGCAGCTCCGGTCCCGAGCCTATGATCTCCACATCGTGCCGCTCCAAAGCTGTCTTGGAGGCTCGGAGCTTGGCTGCTTGCATCGCTCTGGGGGGGAATGGGCCAGTTGGGAACGGCCGCAAAGTGGGGAAGGAAATGGGGGAACGGCATGGGAAGAAACGGGGGAGTGGGGGAAGGGATGGGGTGAAGAAATTAAATGCGGGAACAATGGGGGGATGGGGATATGGGAACGGGATGGGAAAACGGGACAGAATTGGGGAAACGGAATGGGGGAAAGGGAATGGGGAAACGGAATGGGGGAAAGGGAATGGGAGACACGGAAGGGGGAAAGGGAATGGGGAAACGGAATGGGGGAAAGGGAATGGGGGACACGGAAGGGGGAAAGGGAATGGGGAAACGGAATGGGGACAGGGAATGGGGGACACGGAATGGGGAAACGAGCCTCCACTCGAACGAGCCTCCGCGCTCACCTCATGGCCGCCGCATTTTGCGCTTTGTTTCCTCCTGCGCCGCCGCCCCCCGCGCCGTGTTCCGACCCCGTAGCGAGCAGCCCCGCGTACGTGCTCCCCGTCAGCCCCCCCAGCCCTTCCAATCCCGCCAACCCCGCGTACATTGACGCTGCGCGCGTCGATCCGTTTCCCCCGCCGCCCCCCGCTCCCCCTCCCCTTCCCGCGCCCATCCCGTGCGTGCTCCCGCTTCCATACAACCCCCCATTTCCCCCAATTCCGCCGTTCCCGCCGCGGTTGCTCCAGTCTCCTCCGCCAGTTCTCGAGTCGTCCCAGCCGCACCGCGAATCTCCCGCCGCCGCGTCTCGGGAAAATGCAAAGCCGTTGGACGGGGAACCGGGTAAATCGCCTCGCAGGCCTAAACTTCCTAGTGGTAACCCGTTTCTTCGCCCGCTTTCGCCACTTGAGCGTTCCGAGCTGCTGTCATGCGATTTGATGCTGCTGACGGAAATGTGATGCGCAAATCCTAGCCGTTGATCTGCGCCGTTACTAGCGGCGAGCTCGCCTGAAAAGGACGTGGGTGTGACTCTAGCGGGGTTACGCTCGTCCATATCGTCCCCCCTTACAGCGGGTCTGCTAACACAGCCACCCATGATATATATAATTCGAGTTAGAAGTTGGGGTCACGGGTTAAGATATGAAAATCGACGCGGCGCGGACGGAAGTCAGGGAGATTCACCCGCGAATCGCCTTAAGGTAGGGGAGAATGAGGAGTTTCACCCTGTCAGAGTCTCCGTTGGAGTGTCAGCGAGAATTCACGGGAATTACGCGCAGATGCACTATGAGCCGCGAATATATTACGATGGAAGTTCGGACGTTGACGCAAAACAAGTTGAATGCTAGCCTGCTGGTTTACTAAAGCTGTACATCCCCGATCAAAAAGATATTTCGAGATGCTCGAATGGGGAGAATCGTGTCATCCAAACCGTGGGAATGCCAAGCCAAGTTGGTGGACATAGGGGCACGGTGGTGGTTTCCACAATTCTGATACCTGTCAGTGTTCACGCAGTGCACGTAGCTAGTTGGAGGAGGGAGCCGCAATCTCGTCGAGGGAACTGCGAGGTAGGACAAGCAGGGGGAGTTGGAGAGTAGATGCTGGAATGCCGGATTTGGTGTTTCCGCGTCTCCGCACAAAGAATGGTGGTGAGGTGAGTAACGGAGCTTTGTTATCTTCCTGTCGTTCAGTACAACTCGTCTGAATAAAGACACGCTGAACAAGCAAGCAAAAAAACTGCAGGGCTTTGAGCTTGTTATGGGAGAGACAGACAGAACACAGCAAAGCAAGTAAAGTGCAGCGCCACGGATCACACCACCCATCTCGATGCACGTGTCGAATCGGCTCGACTGCCAGATTCCAAACTTGATCACAGCATGCGGACGGGAGGCGGAAGAGAGGCGGAAAAAAGGCGGAAGAGAGTCTGAAGCGGGGCGGAAGGGAGGGGGAGGGGAGGAGGAAGCGGATTCGAGCCGCAGGATGAATCGGCGGTGGGCGATGAGGATGATGGTGCGGAGCGGAATATTTGGATCGACGGAGATTGCGGAAGCGATTGGTGGGGGAGTGAACTGTGGAGAAGGGCGAACCTTTCTTATGATACACATGGAATTTCCCTTGGAAAATCTGGATTCAGAAAATCTGGAGCCTCAGTCCCAATCTCTTCGGTCTGGACAGCTGTCTGTCTACAGTTTGCCCAACCAAGTTGAACAATTCGGTGGCAGTGTGGGTCTTGTCTCACTTCACTCCAAAGACACCCGAGACGACAAGGGTGGTTACAAACACTGCCCTTTGTTGAAATCTGTGAACTTCGGAAATCTACTGTATTCGTCTTCTGGCATCCCACGAACCCACGTGTATGCCACCCCATGTTCACCCCATCATTCAATCACCGCATGAAAAGAAAATGCTGCTGATGTGGTCCGCGTGCCCCTCATATTCACCATCCCCCTTGTTCTGCATGTTTTGTGAGCGAGGGGGGAAACCCCCGTTATCTCAATCTTTCAACAACACACCGAACTCAAACGCGAGTCGACAGCGAGGCGCAACGAGCGGTCAGAAGGCGAGGAAAACGTCAGCGATAAAGATGTGGTTGTATTATCCACCCGTCTATAGCTGACAAGTGGAATGACTTCGTGAAATTGGCGGCGGCTAGTGGCAGGCTGGCTTGGCCACACATGTGAGCATAGCATACACGACTTACCCTGTAAATCTAGGTACACTTCGAGACCCGCCCTCATACAGGGTAGTCCGCGTAGGCATACCCATGAGTCATTGCTGTGCAGTGGTGGAAGATGCGTCCAACGCTTTGCAAGGGCAAAAAATTCTCAAACTCACTTTTCAGCCTCTGAGTAGGCAGCCGACACCAGAATTCCTACATTTTGTGGTTGGTACAAGGTTCAACAAATGCACATGATACCGTACAGTAAAGTATCGAAGCAACCTCCCAGATGCATGGTTTCTCTGGTAAATCACCTTGCCAATGGAGGGTGCCCGAATCAGCGAAGAGAGGCCTCGATTTCCCACCCACCATCGTTCCAACTTGCACTCTTGTAAACAGTCCCCAAAACGGTTTTGCTGTATTCGGCGGAACCTCGTCCAGCTGCCCTAGAAACCCACACTGCTGCACTACAGCCGTCCGGTCACGCCCCCCGCAGCTTACAGGAAACTGTGTGTGCAAGTAATACCCTAAGGCAACAAGAGCTTAACTAAAAAGTCTCACCAGAAAGACTATCAGCAGTCACACGAGTTCAGCGCCAATGAACAAAACGTGACCTAGATCCACCATAACAGCATTATCAAACCTAAGCACAACTAGTCGTGACACAAACATCCAATACGCACTCCGTTCCACTCCTCGGCTGATCCGAATACCCCCTCGACTTGAGAACCGACTCAAAGAAGCTCCTGAATGTGTCAGAGCAGTCAGGCGGCATGAGAAACACCACATCGCGCAGCGTGCGGCTTCTCAGAAGCTTCACCATCGCCGGCTCCTGCACCACTCCCCCTAAAGCCACCCGTCGGAGACACGGCGACAGCGAGAGAAGCCGAGCAGCATCGGGAGAGAGCAGATCAAGGGACAGCGAAGCAGACACCACCGGGCAGGGCGCGGGCCGGAATTCAACCTCTTGAATGGCAAGAGACGGGCAGGACGCTAGCAGTGCAAGCTCGAGCGAGGCCAAGGCAGGGGCGGTGGCGCATTGGACTCCTTCGAGAGAGAGGAAGAGGTAGGTGAGTGCAGGGGGCTGGGAGAGGAAGGAGAGGGAGTAGTGGTGGGGTGGGAGCGGAAGGGTGTCTTGCTCGAGAGCGCCGTAGAGAGAGAGGAAGAAGAACTTGAGGTTGGGGCAGGCAGCCAGGCCAGCACTGCAATGGTGAGGAGGGGGAGGCGTGACCAGTAAGGTCAAACAGAAGGGCAGGGAGGGAGGAAGAGGGGTATAGCACGAGAGGAGTTAGGTGGGGCAAAAGATTATGGCAAAGAAGAGATGAAGCATTCTAGGCGTTCACCGTCCAATTGAGTCAGGAGTACAATGTACATGAAATTCTCCGGGCAGAGGGGATACACCTGAGCAGAAGGAAAACACCTGAGCAAGAGGTATGTACCTGAGCAGGGTGGATGTACCTGAGCGAAGGATATGACCGAGGAAACGGAATATACCTGAGCAGGGGAGACAGTGAGGCGTCGACAGAGACTTCGAGGCACAGCGTCTCGAGAGCGGAGAAGCAGGCGAGGGGCAGCGGGGGGCTGGTGTGGGTCCAGGAAGCAGTCGTTTGAATGCCCTTGAGGGTTGTGCGTGCTGGCATGAGTGCTCGCAGCAACTCGTGCGAATCCACATTGTCACACTGTAGGGGTGGGGGGATGGGGTGACAAAGAGGTCAGGATGAATGTTCGGTCACGGTCCCAAATGGGGGGCTGCAGTGCGTTCAGGACGCGGTCATCTGAATGCCCTTGAGGGTTGCGCGCGCTGGCATGAGTGCGTGCAGCAGCTCGTGTGAATCCACTTTGTCACACTGCAGGGGGGTGGGGGGATGGGGTGGTGGGGTGACAAAGAGGTGAGAATGAATGTTCAGTCATGGTCCGAAATGGGACGGTGAGTACACAAGAGGACTGCGAGAGGGCGGGGGGCTGGTGTGGGTCCAGGAGGCGGTCATCTGAATGCCCTTGAGGGTTGCGCGCGCTGGCATGAGCGCATGCAGCAGCTCGTGTGAATCCACTTTGTCACACTGCGTGTGGAGGGTGATGGAATGCGAAGGGCGATGGGGTAATGGGGTAACTGAGTGCATGCAGCAGCACATGGGAACCCACACTGACAGGGGTGGGGCATTGCAGGGGTGGGGCGATGGGGCGATGGGATGGCATGGAGTAGGGGCGAGAATGGACATCCCTTCGCGGTCTGAAATGGTACGATGTGTGCACGCAGCGTTAAGTTTTTAAAGGGGAAGTACAAGAGAGCAGGCGACTGGGAGATTGTGGGCGGGCGAGGGTGGGAGAGGCATTTTGCATACAGCACAAACCATACCCCACACACCCACCCAATCCATACACCACAACCCCGCCTCTCTCACTCTCTCACCTGCATCACTCGCACGCTCTCCAGTGCGTGCCCGCGCGCCCTGCAGCTCCCACCAGCCGCAGCCACTGCGCACTGCCCCCCCGCAGCGCACACAGCACAGCCCAGCGCAAAGGGGCGGGCCGACAGCCGATGATTCGCCACCACGTCGAGCCTCCGCAGCTTGGGGCACCCATCGAGTACTGCCTGCATGTCCCTGTCTGTCATGTCGGAGCACATTTGTAACTCCAGCTCCTCCAGTGCTGCCAACTGAGCGAGGGGTGGGAGGACAGGAGGCTGTGAGAGGGGAGAAGGTGGAGACATGGGAGAGCGAGAGGAGCCAGTGGTGCTGGTGTTGGTGTTGGTGCTGGTGTTGGTGCTGGTGCTGGTGCAGCCACTAGCGCAAGGGAGGGCGTTGGGGCAGGCAGCAATGCTGGTGGCAGTGCTGCCAGTGCCCATGGTCTCGCTGCTGCCAGCTACAATGAGAGGGCGCGGGCACCCCTGTTGCTGCTCCTCCTCCTCCGGCGGCTGCTGCTGCTGGTCCTGCAGCTGCTGCCACTGCTGCAGGTCTGCAAGCAGAGAGTCGTCCACCTCCCAGCCGCTGCTGAAACCGTCCAGGGTGGGAGGCAGCAACGAGGGGGCGCTATCCCACTGCATCCACTCCTGCAGGCTACCACCATCCAGGTTACCACCATCCAGGTTACCACAATCTGCCAAGGGGAAGCTCGAAGGTTCATCGACGAATGGAGCGCAAGGGAAGGCTGAGCCGAACTGGCCATCCCATTGCTGCGGCTGCTGCTGCTGCTGCTGCTGCACCTCCTGCTGCTGAAACTGCTGCGACTGCTCGTCCTGCTTAACTGCCTCTTGCTCCTCCTGCTTCTCCTGCTCCTCCTGCCCACCTGCCCTCTGTGCCACACCCTCTCCCGCTTCGCCACCAGCCAGCACCCCTCGTCCAAGTCCCAAGAACCGAGTTAGCCGCAGCACCCGCAGTGACTTGCAGCCCGCAGCCAGCGCCTCTACTGCAGGCCCGCTGCGGTGCACATAGAAGGACGGCACCAGGCACAGCTCCTCCAGGCTCGGGCAGTGCCGAGCCAGACTCTCCAGTGCAGCGGCTGTGATGGGGTAGGTTGGGCAGGCTGTGGCGACTGGGAGCGGCAGTGGTGCTGGTGCGCGAGGGGCGAACTGAGCAGGAATGGTTGCTGCAGCAGCAATACTAGCTACACCAGGCGCAGCAGTGGTGGCGGCAGCGACCGCAGCAGGAGAGGCAGAAGAGAGAGCGAAGGTGGAGGATGCGGGGAGGGGAGATGGGCCAAGAGTAGAGGCAAGAGCTGCAGCTGATATGCCTGCAGAAGCAGCAGGTGGAAGAGGAACGTACTCATCCAAACCCTCAATATCCACTTGCTCAACCTCTGCTACGTCCACCGCCGCTGCAGCTACCGCTACTGCTGCTTCTGCGACTGCTGTTGCTGCTGCCTCTACTGAGCCACCAAAAGCGTCCCAAGGCCCATCCACAGCCGCATCCCCAGTGTCTCCAGTGCCATCCCCGTCAGCAACCCCATCAGCAACCCCGTCCGTGTTCCCCTCGTCGCTGTCGTTAAGGTCGTGCGCCACGTCTTCAATGCGCAGCACACGCAGAGCCGGGCACCCGCGCGCCACACTCGCGATCCTGCACGCCCAGCAGCGAGAGCAGTGGGGAAGAGTGGGATGGTGTGGGATGGGATGGGAAGGCACAGGGCAAGCGACGTGGCAGAGGGTGAGACAGAAGATAGGAAAAATGGATTCAAAGGAGCGTGACAGGAACAATGGGAGCGGAGAAAGTGATTGGAGCGGGTGAGGTACGGTGGAGAGGAGTGATAAATGCAAGCGGTAGAGACCACGTTAGTGAGGGTGAGATGAGGACAACCAGCAGCACCCCTTCCACAGACTTCAATCCATCGCCATCCCTGTTACCGACCCAATCCCAATCCCCCAAATCCCAACCCCAATCCCCACAACCACGCGCATCATCACCCACAGACACCCTAACCATCTCCTTCCCAACCCATCCTCATCCCAAACCAAGCGAGCGGCACGGCTCTTGGCCGGCAGCTGTGCAGCTGCCCACAGGCAAGCCCAGTCCGCTGCCAGGCAGGCCTATTCCGTTGGAATGGGGACGCCGCAGCTGCTAGTTCGGAGGGGGCCGACCCGCAGCCCCGACAGAGGCAGCAGCGCAATCACCAGCCGCCCACGACGGGGGGAGCAGCAACAGTAGAAGAATCGATTTAGAACGGGCAGCGCTAGTCATTTCAGGGTGCGAGTAGCTGAGAGGGCAGCTGGCAGCCTGAATGGCATCATTGCGACGGCCATGGCTCTTTTTCAGGCGCCAGCTGCAGTGTGCCAAGGGACACGCAGTGCGCACACGGACAGTCTTGCTCTTGAGGCGCAAACAACGATGGCCACAAAACGACGGTTGCAAAACAGCGAACGGTTGCCACGCAACAGCGCCCCTCCGGCGCCAATTATAATCTGATTCGATTTTGACGATTGACTCTCAAGCTCAATGAGCGAACGCATGCGCATAGCAAGAGAAAACGAAGTGTGTGAAAATAAATAAAAAGCGGCACAGCGCCATACTACTCTTAGTTGAGGAATTAATTATATTACGTACCCCATATCAGTGACGCCACCATCCGCCATCGCAAAACACAGCTCCTCAAGGCCCGGAAAAGCACCCCGTCCAAACACCTCTAACGCGTCATCCCTTAACGGAGCAGGCCCGCCCAGCAGGTTCAGCACGCGAATCCTCCCCAGCTTGCAATCGCTCAGCTGCTTCGGCAACTCGTTAAAGTCACAGTGCCTGCTCCAGGCTAGGTCGATCGAGTCGACTTTAGGGCAACGGGACACTAAACTGCTGACGTGGCGCGCCTCCAGGCCCTCGTCCAGGCCATCCCAGTGGCCAATCACAACGCTCTCCAGCTTCGGCCAGCACAGCCGCACGTACTCCAAGCCAGACGGGCTAACGTTGGCTCGGACGCGGCGGAGGTTCGGAAACGACGTTCGGAAGACCTGCCTTAGTTCTTCTTCCGAACCTGGCCAATCAGGGTGGACATCAGCCAGGTCCAGGTCCGTCACCGAGTCGAAGCACGTCCCCAGGCTCGGAAGGTCGCTGAGGCTTCCGCGCAGGTGTAGCTGGGTACGCGTGGCACGCTCCCATTGGCGCCAGGCCCGGCAGACGAGCGCGCAGCAACCGCGGTCTCTTGGTGCGTCAACGAGGGAGATTATAACGCGGACAAGCTCGGAGGGAAGAGAGGTGAGAGAGGGCTTGGGCGAGGACCCTCGAGAGTGGCAAGGCTCAGCGTCAAGATGAGGATGCGACGAATCAGCGCGATCGCGGGAGAAAGCAGGCGCGGAAGAGCGTAACTGGTGCAGCAGAAGTCCCTTCTCTTCCGCTCCCTCCTCCTCCGTCAATCCTTCTGTCTCCTTGGGATTTTCGAGGCGCAAAAAATGACCGTCCAATCGGCGAACCTTGCTCGGCGGGGCAAAAGATTCGAAACTCGGGGAACAGAAGTGGCTGGTTGATGCTGAGGACGATGCGGGAGAGTCATTTGTCATTGAAGTGCTGATGTTGCTCGGTAAAGCAGCATTCTGTAACGGGGATGAAGACGCGATCAAGGAAGAGGTCATGATGGTTCAACGGGTCGGGTGGAAAACTAAAGCTGCGTGATTCTCTGCGTAGTATCTCTCTGCGTAAGTGTTTCCTTCAGCAGCTGAGCCTCCCCTCGAGAACGAGGCTTCCACCAAGAACGCCTGATACCACAACGTCTGACTTCACCACACGCCATGCGTCGCACCCATTGTATCGCACACGAGAGGCGAGGCGAGCGCGAGGCGATAGGCAGCTCATCCTGTCCGTTGGAAGAGAGAGTCGTGTGAAATTGAGAAATCAAGCGTGGTTGCAGTTTCCAGAATTCAGAACAATCGCCAAATCCATGAAGTCTTTAAAAGATATGGAAAGCTGTGAAACTAATCTAGTGCGACCGTGTTCTAAGGTAGTCTAGGGAAGAGGCACGAGCGATTTCTAAAACCAATACAGTGCGAGGGTAGCAGCAACGGTACTCCCTAGAGGAAGACTCGGACACGAAACCATGACTGGAGACATGTCGTGACCCTAAACGACCCGTCCTACCGTCGTCGGCACGCGGAAAAGGTGAAGCAGCTGTTGCTACGGAAGCTATCGCGGGCTATTTGGTGAACATGGAAAAAAAGGAAAACGCGGCGGATTTGTACGTGTGGTCCATTGTGAAAGGTGGTGGTAAGAGGGATGTGGAGTGGATGTGAAGGAAAGAGGCGACGGAGAGCGAAGTAGAGGAAGTATGAGGCCAACTCAAGCAGAAAACGAGGTCGGGGACGGAGAACGAAAAGGGGGTCTAAGGTAGGCCCAGACACACGCAAGAGGCTGACAGCGGGTGAACACGATACGAGCTGAGGACGTGAGGATGTGGGTCAGAGTACGCCGAAACCTAAGCGCCTCAGCCGAGACTCGGGTATATCTCTTCACGCAACGTGACGGTGGTTGCTTGAGTCAAACGAAAGCAAATCCAAGGTTTTGGCTGGTTCCAGATTTTTAAGAGTTGGCGTTCGAAACTGCACTAGCCACGAGTCGAATTCTTCAAGCGTAAAATACTCGGCACAAATTAGTAGGTTGCGGACGGGTGGGGTAGCTAACAAGCAACCAAGCATAAGGCAGACACGAGCAGAAGCATGCAGCAGCCTTGAGCAAAATCACTCGCCTCAAACCCGTGAGGAAAGGGCATTCCATTCAAAAACCACTCTGAACCATTATAAAAATTACAATACCGCTTTGTCCCGCTTTGTCCCGCAACACCCCCAGCCAGTGCTTTGCTTGTGCCTGTGGCCTACCTTGATAATTACGGTTACGGGCCACCACCGCCACCCGCTCCGCTTGCTTCCCCGCACACGCAAGCGGCACAAGGCGAAAATCAGGTCCGGAGGGGGAAGAGCGGGATGGAGGCCGTTTGAAGGAGGGTTTGGGGACGACGTGGGCCAATGGGAAGCAGAGATGGAAGTGAGTGCGCGGTTTGTACGTAGCGTGTGAAGGGAGCAATGCGCTTGGTGCGGTGCTGGCACCGGGCGGGGATCCAAGGTGGGTTTTCGCCGATGGTGCTGATTCGTCAACGAGGTTTTACGCGGTTTGCTTAGACGGCCAAAGCCTCGCCGAATGGACGGGGTTTGGTGGGCTTCCAGTTTGAATTGCCGGTTTCGCCAATTCTCAACGGGCTAGTTCAATAGCGGTCATGACGTAGTGCACACCAAAGCTCCAGTCTCTCCAATATGACCTTGATTTCAGTTCTATTAACTGAATTATAAGCATTCGAGTGTACCATATGTTACAGAAACCCCATTACCCGATGGGTGTAGATGTGATCTTCGACAATCTCCAGGCTTCCAGCTTCAACCTCATCTTCTTCGCCCCCTGTCAAGCCACACCCCCTCACTTCAATTCCTCTCAGCCAACCTCCTCCCACCCACCTCCTTCACTAGGGCTTCCCTGCTTCACAGACCCTCCTCTTTATCCGTACCGCTCTATTTCTGATTTTTCTTCAGGCTTGTTTAGTAGGGAAGCGGGAGGATTGACCGAGAATCAACTCGCCGGATCCTCTGTTGATTAGACATTGTTTATTCTTAGGGCCGTGTTATATTTTAAGGTTGACGTCACATTTTCCCACATGGCCACAAATATGGCCGTCGTGGAGGAGCCATTGTACCCGATAGCTATTTTAATCGACGAGCTTAAAAATGACGACATTCAGCTGCGCTTAAACTCGATAAGGCGGCTGAGCACGATCGCGAGGGCGCTCGGCGAGGACAGGACGCGGAAGGAGCTCATTCCGTTTCTTAACGAGAATAACGACGATGACGACGAGGTGCTGCTGGCCATGGCGGAGGAGCTCGGCTCCTTCATTCCGTGCGTCGGTGGGATCGATTACGCCTACGTCATTCTCCCGCCGTTGGAGACGCTCTGCACCGTCGAGGAGACGGTTGTACGCGATAAGGCGGTGGAGTCGCTGTGCAAGATCGGCCAGCAGATGAAACCGAGAGACATCGTCGAGTACTTCGTCCCGCTCGTTCAGGTGCGTTTCCATCACAGGTGCGCATTTATTCCAGGTTCACGATTTAGGTTCACGTCCATTACAGCTTTGCGTCCAGGTTCATTCATGGCTTTGATTCCCCACTGTTGAGTACAATGCGTAACGAAACTGTGTTTTTCGCCAGGAGCTTATCAGGCATTTCATCGGAGTCGATGCTGATAATGTCAGGGTCGTCTTTGAGAACTCTTAAAAATGATTAAATAGTATTGCTTGACAGGACTGCATCGAGCATTTTATCGGAGTGGTGCTGATAGTGTTAAGGTTCCATGTCGCTCTCGTCTGCATACACAGCTGTCAGTATCGCAAACCGGAAACTTTTTCATTGCTGACTCTGACTGACCCACTTTCCTCGCAGTTTATCACATTGCTTACCTGTTCCCCGCCGTTCCCACCCGCGTCGGTGGCTGGCGTGGTATTGTCTGTCTCGGGCAGAGATTGCCGCGTCGTCGGATGTTGCGAATCACGTAGAAAGGAAAATGTCATAGTTTTTGCAACCCGCAACAGACAGAATGGCTATCCTCGCGCGCGCCCTTCCGTGCGATTCCGAGCCTGAGTGCGATGGAGCAACAGTCAGCTGTCGCTTGACCATACGAAGCCTACCGGTTTGCGTTTCCATTTCCATTTCCCACTCCGTTCATCCTCCCACTCATTCTCCTTTCCTTTTCATCATCCTCTTCTTTCCTCCCTTCCCTTCCCCTCCTCCCCCTCCCCTCCTTTCCCTCTTCCCCCTCCCTTTTCCCGCTCTCCCCGACCTTCCCCGCTCTCTCTCCGCCGCCATTCCCCACCCGTTTCAGCGTCTGGCGGCGGGCGACTGGTTCACGGCGCGCGTGTCCGCGTGCGGGCTGTTTCACATCGCATACCCGGCGGCGACGGAGCAGCAGCGCGCCGAGCTGCGCACGCTGTACGGGCAGCTGAGCCACGACGACATGCCCATGGTGCGCCGCTCCGCCGCGCTCAACATGGGGAAATTCGCCGCCACCGTCGAGCCGCAGTTCCTCAAAACCGACATCCTCTCCTTCTTTAAAGACCTCACTAACGACGGTGCGTGCGAGGAAGGGCGCCTGCAGGGGAGGGTGCGTGCAGGGAAGGGTGCGTGCAGGGAAGGGTGCGTGCAGGGGAGGGTGCGTACAGGGGAGGGTGCGTGCAGGGGAGGGTGCGCGCAGAGGAGGGAAGGGGAGGGCTGTAGCGAAGGGGCGGGGAGCGAAGGGATGGAAGGGAGGGAAGCAATGGCTGTAGGGGAATAGGGGAAAAGGTATGGCTGTAGCGAAGGTATGGGAAAAAGGATGGCTGAAGCAGGGGGATGCCTGGTGGCGTTTGCGTCTTCGCCTATAAATCATGTTCCCCTTTCGTCCCATGTTGGTCTGCGCACACCGTCGTTTGCATGCATCCCTTGCTGCGTGCAGACCAGGACTCAGTGCGGTTGCTGGCGGTGGAGGGGTGTGCGGCGGTGGGCAAGCTGCTGGAGAAGGAGGAGTGCATATCCACCATTCTCCCCATCATCCTCTCTTTCGCCCAGGTAAAATAAAAATGCCTTGTGCTTCTTGCTCACCTCTTCCTGCTCCCTGCTCCTCCCTCCCTGTTTCCTGCTCTCTGCTCCCACCCCCCTCTTCCATGTTCCCGAATCCCTGCTTCCCGTTTCCCCCACACCCCATTCCCCACTCCCCACTCCCCACTCCCTACTCCCTGCTCACCTCTTCGTCACTTATGCATTGTTTTGAAAAGGGTCGCTAATTTAGAATACTAGTTGTCTGGTTACCCTGTAACTTGCTGGTTCTCCCCGCTTGCACCTGCACTTGCATTTTCCCGCTTCTCAACTCTCGCCTCCCCTTACGGGCCTACTCCCCTGCGTGCTGTTAGACTTTTCTCCGAGTCCATCTCTGCCCTCTTCCGGGTCCAATGCGCATGCTGAGAAGTTCATCTGCTGACGTGGCGTGTGACATGCGGTGTGATATGTGGTGTGGCATGTTGTGTGGCATGCGGTGTGGCATGCGGTGTGGCATGTGGTGTGGCATGCGGTGTGGCATGCGGTGTGGCATGTGTTGTGGCTTGCGGCATGTCACAACAGGACAAGTCGTGGCGTGTGCGTTACATGGTGGCCAATCAGCTGCACGAGCTTTGCGAGGCAGTGGGCCCTGACGTCGCACGGTATGTCCTGACGTCGCACGGTATGTCCTGACGTCGCACGGTATGTCCTGACGTCGCACGGCTGACGTCGCACGGTATGTCCTGACGTCGCACGGTATGTCCTGACGTCGCACGGTATGTCCTGACGTCGCACGGTATGTCCTGACGTCGCACGGTATGTCCTGACGTCGCACGGTATGTCCTGACGTCGCACGGTACGTCCTGACGTCGCACGGTACGTCCTGACGTCGCACGGTACGTCCTGACGTCGCACGGTATGTCCTGACGTCGCACGGTACGTCCTGACGTCACATGGTGCTTCTTGATGTCACACGCATGTCCTGTTGTTGCACACATGTCCTGATGTCCGCATGTTGCACACTGGGCCCC